TTGGCTTGTCTAGAATTGCAGTAAGTTTTATACTAGAGCGTGTATCTAAAGCTGCACTTGCAGGCTCCTACCAATTTTGTCTGGGAAGTAGAGAAACTAACGGTGAAGGTGAGTTGAGTGTTGTACGTCTGCAAAGGTGCCCCTTAAACCTACATCCGGGTCACAAGTCCCGGAAATTGCTCGTCGTTTCAATCTCTGTAGTACATTGGCAAGCTAGTTCCTACTAGATTTGGCTGAGCCAAGAGAGAAACACTAACTGTAAAGGTGAGTGTTGACGTACGTCGGCAAAGGGCAGCTTAAACCCACACCGGGTCACAAGTCCCGGAAATTGCTCGTCGTTTCCCTCTCTGTAATACGTTGGCAAGCTAGTTCCTACTAGATTTGGCTGAGCCAAGAGAGAAACACTAACTGTAAAGGTGAGTGTTGACGTACGTCGGCAAAGGGCAGCTTAAACCCACACCGGGTCACAAGTCCCGGAAATTGCTCGTCGTTTCCCTCTCTGTAATACGTTGGCAAGCTAGTTCCTACTAGATTTGGCTGAGCCAGGAGAGAAACACGAACTGTGAAGGTGAGTGTTGACGTACGTCGGCAAAGGGCAGCTTAAACCTACACCGGGTCACAAGTCCCGGAAATTGCTCGTCGTTTCCCTCTCTCTAATATGTTGGCAAGCTAGCTCCTAATAGATTTGGCTGAGCCAAGAGAGAAACACTAACTGTAAAGGTGAGTGTTGACGTTCGTCGGCAAAGGGCAGCTTAAACCTACACCGGGTCACAAGTCCCGGGAACTGCTCGGAGTTTTACCTCACTGCCACACGATGGACCCAGCATCCGCACAGTATCCATGGAATGCTAAGTTCCTCTCACCTACTATATACAACTATTTTTCCCTATTGTTGTCTGTGAAAACATGCCATAAGTTGTTACGTCATAATGCGCCATTATTTGAATATTTCGACAATAAATTATACTACAATGGTGATGCCACGATTTCGTGTGTGTAATTAATACTTCGAGTAGTCTCTTTATTTTTATGATGACTTTTAAGGTTGGGTGTCCCCGATCGCTCTCCATAAAAACGTGCTACTATGAAAAATTTCGATAACATATCCTCTATAAAACTGTAGTTTGCTCGATTGTCAAAAATATCCGCAACGTACGCGATATAAGAATGGTACTTTTTTCATTTTTCACATGTTGGGTCACATTATCAAAGTTTTTATACGCATCCCTAAAGGTTTTGAAAATATTCTATCGTCTATGTTCATCAGAGATAATATGCAGGGTTCAGTAATTTCGGTGCATATTCAATGCAAACAAACAATATTTATAATATTATTACATTAATTCGTGAAGCAGAAACTTTGTAAATCTTTATGAAAATTGCACGGACGGGAAAATATGAAATTTCGCACACTTATAGTTTATACAGAGGAGGGCAGAATGCCAATATTTATTTAACATTATGCATAATAAAAAAAACATTAAATCAATAAAAAAAAACATTACACACTCTACCAGGTATTTGACACACATACGCATATATACTCTTTTGTTTAATTGGTATTGCTAGATCAAAAATCATTTGTATTTTTTATTATGGTCGTATTGCAACCATTAGTTAGTATAGTTATGTATCTTAGATACTTTCTAAACACAGCTATTATTATGCAACACAAACACATAGGTTATCCGCATCCGCGTCCATTTATTGAAACTTCAATCAATTACAAAAACAAGATTATAACCGATCCGTGTTATTACCACAGAGTAGGTATTTACATACTGTGGTAGTACGTTGCACGTGATAATATCTTTCATACGTGTCAATTTTGCAAATAATTTCACTTAACTAATAATACTGATTATTTAACAAAATATATTATTTACTGTTCGAATCTGGTCTGGCCTTGTTGGACTTCCAGTTTAACACACCGCCTTATTTCCGATGGTGATGGGTTCGATTCTTCGCACGGTACAAACATTTGTATCTTTCATCTGTGCAATTTTCGTAAAAAGGGAAACAAAGTATTTGCTTCACGTATATAGATTCTATTTTTTAGTAACGAAACTCAGACAAAGTAATGAAAATCAACAGTATAATTAGAACATAAAAAATATTAGTAATAAACACCGATAAACGATAAGTTAACAAAAAACTGGCACCATAACCTGCTGAGATTGTGACGGAACTCTTTTTTGTTGCTATATGACAAAAAAATGCCACCGTAACCTAACCTGATAATATATTTTATAGAAACGTTTTCTCTCATTATATAATAATTGGATCATTAACATAACTGCACCCTTCCGATCGATACCCCGTCCAATTCAAACGGGTATCGAAATTACAACGGTTCGATCCGAGTATCGAACACCTAGAGGTACCTCAGACTAAAGTCGTATCTGTCAGGCTGGAGCTGGCCTTCATCCGCTCCATAAGTTCTTCCACAAGTTTGGAGTGCCATTTGCACTCATATAGTTCGGTGAAGTTGTAAAGGTCAACTGCGGCCAGCAGCATTAAAGTAGTCCAAAAAGGTTGCAGCTATCACGTTATACTCGTGAACGGGTGCTGCTGGTAAGGACTGGTCTGTTTTGATAACTAGGCCTGATTTATTTTGTTACTTAACTAACTATTTATTTATTTATGTCGAATTTAATATCTGGCGGTTTTTATTAAAAAAAAATTAAATTCGGAACAACATTTATTTAAAAAAGCAACACGCAAGTTGTTTCCTCATACTTCTTGTGTTGAGTCTACGTTCCGAATGAGCGGTAGAATAAAAAAATGACTATTCAAAAGTGCTTATATTAAGTTTATTTTAATAAAGACAATTTCTATTTTTATTTAACGTGTAAACACGTTCAACTTCTATGATTCAAAATTGGATTTCCATGTAGGGGTACACCATCGTCAATTATAAATAATTCAATTACTAATAAAGTAATTTTATTTTTAAAGTTTTATTAACTTTCTATAAATATTGTATTATTAGCAAACAAATTTATATATAGCTAAATTTAATTATAATCTTATCACGCATGATTTATCTATGATGTAGGTATTATTGAAAATGTTATCTCTCTTTTTATTGTTACTGTCAGAACCCGGAACCTGTTGATGCGAGATATCATCGCAAAATTTCATAATAAGCGAACATTTAATCAAATAATTATTTAAATGATAAAAGTAAGATGACAGCTTAGTGGCTCGAGTACTTGTGGGAGAATTTGGGAAGGTAAATATATAGTAACATTATAAAGCTGAAGAGTTTGTTTGTTTGTTTGAACGCGCTAATCTCAGAAACTACTGGTTCGAAATGAAATATTCTTTTTGTGTTAGATAGTACATTCGTCGAGGAAGGCTATAAGCTATAATATACGCTACGACCAATAGCAGCGAAGCTGCAATGAAAAATATTGCAAAAGGTGGGGAAATTAAACGCTGACGTTGCGCGGGTCAGCTAGTATTTGATAAAAGGTTTACCACACCTAAGTTTTGTCAACTTGATAAACGAAAGTTTATACCATAGTCAATAAATGACTAATTACCCCGGATGGGGTAATTAGAGGAATTGCCGCCTGTTGACGTTATACCAATAACATTTATCATTACTTTCACATTTGTAATTAAAATATAATTGCATTTAGCTAAAACCTTTTAATTTGGAATTTCAAACAGACACTTAAATTTTCTTTATTAGTATAGATTTAGTAATTAGTACAATAATAATTACTGTTGGAATTCCAATGATACCAATGAAAGTAATGACAAATGTTATTGGCATAGGATTGACAAAATATACATCTAAAATTAAATTAAAAACATTCTCTGAAACATATTTTTTTCTGTCAGTAACAACAAACAAGTTGTTAAAAACTAGCATTACTAATAAGAGCGAAACAAATTAAAGCAAATATTTATTAACTGAACTACGTATAAAATTAATCTCTACTTATTAGTTAATTATTATTGCATGACTACTAGAGAAATATAGTGAATTCCGGTGTGTGATTACCCCCTTGCCTCTATGGCATAAAAATTTCCATGTATATGAATAAAGTTTAGAAATAATCCATTTGATTGTATGAATTTATCTTTTGAGCGGATATGTTAATTTAATCTTTTTATAGCATGTAACTGTAATCTTTTTATTATATTGCAAAAATACATTAATAAATTATCATCATAAAACTGTATTCTAAGAAGACTTATCTAGAATAATATTTAAATAAGGCAATTTTCGTTGAAAACAAAATAACAAAGAGTATTTTGTTTTTACTTGACTATCTTCGCAAAAAGTATCTTTTTACAAAACATAAATGAATGTTTGTGTATATACACATTAATAACAAATAGTTATAATAATGAATAAATACAGTAAAAAAAACTTTAATAATAATAAATTAATAAGTAAAGTAATAGTAGTAAGCAAAAAATAAAAAGTCTATCAAAATTAGAACTATATAAGTCCAATACTTGCTTTAATTCTGTTTTAGCTCGCATTATTTGTTCCTTTAATTTCACTCCACATTTCCAAGCACGTGAGTTCCGAAGATTAAATTGTAATAAATACAGATTAGATAAATTCCGAATATCTCTAAGAACTACCAAAGGTCGGCTGGTACAGAATGCTAATATCATTAAGTGCGTCTTTAGCATCAAATTTAAAAAAAAAGTTTCAATATCATTTAAATCTTACGACTCAATTCGTCCAAGTTCACCTTGGAAGGAGTCGATTATCCTTATTTAGAAAATAGGGAATAATGGCCCATTTCCATTAGGACTTCCACACTGTCCCGAGTTATCATTAAAATTATTGGTGATTCTGATGGTACGCTCTGCTGATCTGACTTCATCTACGCATATACGGATAGTGCAGACGAGTGCACTATTCCATCATCATCCATAAAAAAATCGGTCCACTATCTCCAACTTTCTAAGCTCTATGCTCTATATATATTACAAAAAAATAAGATAAATTAAATGTATTTGCAACTGACCTTCTCTCGTGCTGGTAACCCTCAATGGCTTCCTTCTTTGAGTCCATCGTGAGCTTGTAGTATATATTTGCAGCGGCTTTAGATTTATCCTCGGCCGAGTACACGAACCCGTGAAGCTGCTGCAGCAAGCTCCAGCTGAGACTCCATAACGACTTGCTCATCTTCGGTGTGCATGTTACGAACCTAAAAAAGTTGTTCAAGTAAATTAACTGTACATAAGAAAATACTATAGGGCATCTGGCAATTGTCTTATCTTTAATTTCATTTCTTTGTGAACATCCAGTACGTTCATGTTATTATTGCACAATTATTGTTGCATTTACCTAAAAAGATACAGAAGCCATTTAAACAAGTTAGCATTAAAAATTTAAGAAACGTGAAATGTTAAAATAAATAAATTTAACATTTCAAGATGTCTAACAGGCATTAGAGTTAATATAATTGAGCAATGATGTATTATTCAAAAGTAAAAGGTAATTATAAAATTTGGATGTGTTTTCTTGTCTGAATCCGATAATTGTAAATTTTTAAACTTTGTATGAAAAGCAGTAGCGCATCAAGTTACTATCATTCAATCGTCGACATATGATTAATCAAACTAACTAAACTAAACAAAGTAACTTAACTAATAGCAACATTGATTTCAATATAGAATAATAAATTGTTTAAAATTACAACATATGTTAATGATCAAACTGAACATCATGAAACATGTAACATGGAGAACATAATACATGACTAACAAAATAATATAAGCAAACACATATAATAAAATTGAAAATTTTAAAATGATATATATGGTCCTTTGTACCGGATAGTTGTAATCGCATCCATTCAAAAGTTACATCACAAAAAGTATACCTAACAGATAAGGACTAAATTTTACATATCATATAACTACAAAAACATGAATTAATATCTTTATTATGCAAAATAATTAAGACCAATTAAGAAGATTTTTTTAATATTTAATAACGTCAAAACCTTGACCGAGTACAAACAATATGTATGTAACACGCTACAAGCAGATAGGATTTTTAGATTAGGACTATTATTATTACTATAACAATAAATGTTATTGTAGTGGAAAGATTATCATTTATTTAAAACAAGCAGTTTCTTTTTGCGTCAGAATCAGGGAAATAATATTGATACGATAGTTCGTCAATCGCGCGATAATTTTTTTAGAACTCTATACGTCAATCATTAACCTACTCTTACATAATTTACATTATCAAAGGAAGTTTTTGAAGTGGAATGACTACGTAATGCCAATTATTTTAACGAAATATTTTTTTAAGGAAATATATCTTTAATGATTTTGAGACGCCGTATTTTTGGAAGGTAACGTTGTTGTTGGGAATCTAGAACAATTTGTCTGAGACTTTGCCCCATATGTACAAATAGGACAAGACTACTTAAGGGTAAATAATTCTTAGATTATTATTGGATGAGGTTTATGAAGACACTTAAGCGTTCAAACAATTGGACTCCTCCTTATAGTAATTTCTACAGGAGGCTTATGTTCAACAATGAACAGCAGAAATGATGAATTCTTCGTCCGCATTATAATACATCAAGTCAATAAAACATTGAATTATTGTCAGCAAACGATTACCATCACCAGTGGACTGTGAACAATACCCCAAACGAAACCAATCACCTGGTTAGCCCATAAAGAGTACAAAACTAACCTAGTCATTAAGTTGTTGTGGCGGACACACTTCTTCCTAAGCACGAACATATTCCCAACCACTTTGTATTGCACTGCATGCTTCTCTACTCTAACATCACCGACATAACTAAAAAGCGTTGTGGTACATTGTTAATGTTAATCGTGGTACATATAATGTTAATTGTGATACACTTAATGTTAACTATGGTGCATTTAATATTAACTGTGATAAAGTTAATGTTAACTACGGTGCATTTAATGTTAATGTTAATTGTGCCCTTACTAATATTATAAACGCGGAAGTTTGTGAGTGTGGATGGATAGAGGAATGGATGGATGTTTGTTAGTCTTGCACGCAAAAACTACTTGTAATTGGATTTTAATGAAACTTTACAATAATATAGCTTATTAGTATAACACATAGGCTATATTTCACGCGGTTGAAACAGCAAGCACAGTTAGTATTTAATATCAACAGTGCTAAATATAGAAGTCAAGAACGAAAAGGAAATGTGGTATTGTTGGTAAATACTACTAACAATCAAAGAAAATTTGCATAAAATCCTATAACATGTTTCTTTAGAAGTTATCTATATGTCTCACGAATTTAAAACAACTTAGCTAAATTAACGAAAGACAACCGAGTCCACGAAAGACAAATTGGCAGATACTCTATCTATTAATTTCGAAAATATTATATAACATTAATATTATACTGAATAGTCGATTAATATATACAACTAGCCGACCTGCGCAACTTCGTCTGCGATTAATATCCCCATCTTTTGATATATTTGTCATTATAGCTCCGCTCCTTTTGGTCGTAACCGTAATGTTATATAGTTTAAAGCCGTCCTCGTCAAATGGACTATCCAACACAAAAAGAATTTTTCAATTCGAACCAGTAGTTCCTGAGATTAACGCGTCAAATAAACAAACTCTTCAGCTTTATAATATTAGTGTAGATTTATGTGTATGTCTTTAAGGTTAATTAAATATATAATATATATTAATATTTAATCCATTAAGTTTAGCGCTAAAGAAGTCAAAAAGCTATATTATTATAACCTTATATTAGCATATGCTTCATAACGTGACTGACTGTGCAAATTAAAGTGAATATGTACATTATGACCGAATTATGATAACTCAACATAGTAATAATACGTATGAAAACGATACCTTCTGGCCTTTGACATATTATCTATAAATTGGTCTATTAGTAGATTACATTTAAAATAAAATAAAGATATAACATTTCTTTTATTCCTAGCGACTGATTGAAGAAATACTTCTATTAGTCAATATAATAGGATTGAATTTGCTATGTCGTTACAAGCTGCGGCCTCAACTTCATACGCGTTGTATTCAGAAGAACCATAACTTTTCGTTCGTGAATTGGAATCAAACAAACACGCAATGTTACAGTTAAAACTTGCTACAATAGATTTGTAAAACCTGCATTGTAATCGGTTAAGCCACTTCTAATGTTAAAGTACATAAAAGCACAGAAATAGCATAATATATACAATAGGTGCGGATACAGCCGCGCATATGTGAAATTGTCCACCTTAGAGGCACTGAAAATGATTGCACTGTTGCGGATCCAATGCATCTGGAGATGGACATAAATATATGCATTTGTAATCTTGTACAAGCTCATTTGAAAAGAATAAGAGCTGAGTTTCTTGTCAATTCGTCTTAGCTCGATAGCACGATATATCATAAGAGTTTGTAATAGACCTACATGAATAATGATTTTCATTAATTTTAATTAATCCTGTGTTCATATTTTACTAACATATTTTATAAATAGTTCACATAACATAATATAGATTATAAGTATCGGAGTTAAATAAATAAACGACGGCCTCGGTGGTAGAGCGGTTTAGCACACCGCCTTACGTTCTAATGGTCGTGGGTTTGAATTTTCGCACGGTACAAATATTATTAATAATCAGTATAATTGTTTGCATGTGCTTATAAAAAAAAATGTATCAGTTGTCTAGTATACACATAACGCATGCTTAGTTTGAGACTAGATGACCCAGTGTGGATTCTCCAGGGTTATTACTATTATTATAACTATAATTGTATAAATTTTTTAACATTTATTATACAAACACGACATGTTTACGATTTATGATAAGAAAATTTGCATAGACATGTGCATAGACTATTTACGTATCTACACATATTTTTATAGCGCATTTCGCTGACTACTGCGCCATAGAGGTCATACATGTCTAACGTAATCTTAGTCTAAGGTCGAGTAAAGTATCACAATAACTATTTATACTTGCAATCTCTTGCAACAACGTTGTATCACTTTGTAATACCATAAGGTCTCGTCTAGACCTCTATATTATCTTTGGATGAGTCACAAAGACTATTCATATGATTGATATAAAATTATATCTTAATATTATAAACGCTAAAGTTTTGCGATCATGAATTGTTAGCTTTAATGTATAGAGAACGTAATTTATTACTTAATTTTCAAATTTAGAACCATAGGGTAACGATGTTATTGTGATGTTAGTGGCGTCACTATAATGGCACCACCAAGATGCAGGAAGAAAGGAGGACGAAACGGCCATTCTCGTTTGAAGGCAGCCAACCAATTATATAAGTTATATTCTTTGTATAAAAATTAATATAAGTGTGTGTAATGGAGAACGAAATAAAACAAGTAAATATGCATCGACATATCATTTCGAATCTTTCCAATGAGATGGATAGATGGATGGATGGATGGATGTTTATTACTCTTTCACCCAAAAACTACTGAACAGAGTTTGTTTAATTGTTATTATTGGTTCTTAGATGTTTTTGTAATTTTTTTATTGTGGTCGAATTTCTACCACCGGGCGGCCACAAATTTTTAGTAATATCTAAACATAATTAGCAACTGCATATCACAATATATTTCATAATATACAGGCCGTGACCTAATTATCTTATAGAGAATTCATAAACTGTATAATATATAAATATACATTATATATTATGTCGAAATGAGAACAAAAACGATAATTCATTGACGTAATAATATCACGCTATCACTATATTTGAAAATATACAGTTAATTGAATTTATGATAACAAGGTTAAAGTGTATGGGCGTAGCAATACAGATATTTTTTTGTGTACGTGCCTAGTTTTGTGAAGAAAGGAAACCTCGCAATGGGGACGATTTTATGTCGCCATTTTCCAAAACAAAGCTTTTAATTTGATACCACAGAGATATTCCAACAATAATATCAGTCAATCAATTGTTGCAATAAGAACTTTTATTCAATTATAATATGTTAGCGTATGATTATAGGGGCTGTATTTATATGCCAGTTTTGTTGTATATAAGTAGTTTATTGTAATAAAAGTAAATTTCAGGAATATAGAATTAAATAAAACGGTATAAAAAAAATTAGTAATCAGGAGTACAACAGTAAATTAGAAATTCTGCAGAAGAAGCCATTTTTGTAGTCGTTTTTCCCGCGCAAATGCAA